CTGCAGGCCGCCATGAGCTCTAAACGAAAAGCCCTGGCATAGATCGGGCACCAGGCTCATCTCGGGTGGAAGCATGACCCACAGCTGCTCCTGGGGGTTGGGGCGAGAACTTTGCAGAAGTCATTGGCTATGGGCTGATCACAGTGACGTTGTGTGGCACTCTAAACCTTGGGCCGGACTGGCCTTGGGTGTGTCCCTGACACAAGGCCGAGTTTGACTGGGCCCAGAACCCTGGGTACCTTCCCCTCTTGCATCCCGTTCATCTTAACATTAATTGAGGCCCTGGTCTGGCAGATGTTGAAGGTGGGTGTTGAGAGCTGTGGGTTTGGCCTTATTGGAGTTTATTCCTCCTGGAAACGCTGAGCTCAGACTTTGGGCTGAGCACAGGGTAAAGCAGACAAAGCTGGCAGTCAAGTCCTGTCCTTGAGCAGTTGATCATCAGGTGGGGCTGACAAATGAGCAGACACACAGGGCAGCCTTCAGTCTGTAGTTGGGGGGGCTTAGAGGAGGCACCTGACCGCCGTGGAGGGCATCTGGGGAGGCTTCCTGGAGGAGGCGTAATGGGAGTTGACTGTGAAGGGAGGTGGGGAATTGGCTTTCTCTGTCAGAGAACTGCATTCACCATGGGGTGCCAGGGAGTGTGTCGGGCCTGGAGTGTGAGGTAGGCAAGGGAAAGGTGGTGGGGTGGGGCATTGGCGTGACTCAGACCCTGAAAGGCTTGCACCCCTTCAAGGGGTCAGGGTTCTCTTCAGAGGCAGCCTGAGCCTTAGATGGCTTCTCAGCAGGAGAGTCTCTGTGACTTTCCCTTCTGAGGCCTCAGTTTTCTCATCTGTAAAGTGGGGGATGTGTGCTGAGCTTCTAATGAGATGACGCACTTTTCCAAGGGGTTGGGGAAGAAACTGGCTCATCCCCAGGCATGGCCTCCTGTCTCTGCCCTTTGGCTCTTCTGCTCTTGGGGTCATGAAAGCCTGACCAAGGGGGCCTTGGGTCCAGCCGGTCCAGGGTCTGATAAAAAGGTGGTGTCTGGGACTGGTCCCAGAGACTTCATAGCCACTGTTCTCATGAGCCCCAGACACTGCTGGGTTTCCACTCCCGTTCCCACTGCTGTCCTTGGCCGGGTTGCCGTCCCAGGGCCTCATGGAGTGGTGGTCCAGTCTGGGTACCTGTGTCCTGCCTGCTGCGCTGCCTCCGACAGATGCTTTACTTCCCTGGGCCCAGAGCCTCATCTGAAACCTCCCTTTTCCCAAGCACCTTCAGCGATCACGGGAGGGGCTGCTGGGAAGGAAAGGGGCCCTCCCATCTGTCAGGCCGCTGGCAGGCTGTGACAGTGTGATACCAGGTACACTCTGCCTTGATACCATGGTTTCTAGCGGTGCCCAGTCCCAGCACAGATCACCTTGGCCTTCATGGAGACAACTGGAGGCTGGCATCGCCCCTCCTAATAGATTCAGCTTTGTTTTGTTTAGTGAGTGTCTTCACCGGGCCAGGCACCTTGCCAGCACTTCAAATTCTGGTCCCTGTGAAGTCAGTGCTGTGGGCCCCGTTAAACAGATGTGAGAACCGAGTCTTAGAGAAGTTCAGGGGTTTGCCCAGGACCAGTGACTCAGACGGTAAAGAATCCACCTGCCAATGCAGGAGACCCAGGTTCGATCTCTGGGTCAGAAAAATCCTCTGGAGAAGGGAATGGCAACCCACTCCAGTATTCTTGCCTGGAGAATCTCCATGGACAGAGGGGTCCATGGGGTCACAAAGAGTCAGACATGAGTGACTAACACTTTCACTTTCATGAAGTCAGTCATGTGGGTCCCATTAAACAGATGTGAAAACCAAGTCTTAGAGAAGTTCAGTGATCCAGTCCCAGGTCTTCATCATTCTAAAGGATGGTCCTTTGTCCTTTTCTGGGGTGACAAGGGTATCCTGCAGAATGGTCAGCTGTGTCCTGGGGGTGAGGCCTTTGACCTTTCCTCTCGAGGAAGCATCTTTCCCTTCAGGGCAGCTGTGAGAGAGTCAGGTGGAGCTGGAGCTGCGTCCCATTCCACCTGGAGGGCAGCTGGCCGCAACAGCTTCTTTCTCCTGTCCTTCCCAGCTAGAGCCAGCTAGTTTCCTGAAACTTGCTCACTCACCTTCCTTTGGGGCTTCCCTCATAGCACAGTTGGTAAAGAATCCACCTGCAATGCAGGAGACCCCGGTTCAATTCCTGGGTTGGGAAGATCATCTGGAGAAGGGCTAGGCTACCCACTCCAGTCTTCTTGGGCTTCCCTGTGGCTCAGCTGGTAAAGAATCTGCCTGCAATGCAGGAGGCCTGGGTTTGATCCCTGGGTTGGGACGATCCCCTGGAGAAGGAAACGGCTTACCCACTCCAGTATTCCGGCCTGGAGAATCCCATGGACTGTATAGTCCATGGCGTCACAAAGAGTCGGACACGACTGAGCAACTTTCACTTCACTTCACTTCCTTTAAGAAAAACGGCATCGTTTTTTTCTGTAAAACAGTAATAGAAAATTCAATTTAGTCAGAAGAGTATAAGGAGAAAAAGGAACTGCTGTCGCATCATCACTCGGCTGTCCCTGCTGACACCTGGAAGGTGCGCCTACCTTGTCCTCACCTCTGTGTCCCCAGAATGTGGGGCCTGGTGCCGAGCAGCTGCTCAACACACAGTCATGACCAAACGAAAAAGATGAACAAACACAGTTCAGAAAATTGCGATCACAAATCATATTTGTCCTTTGACGCGTCCTTTTTCACTCTTTACAATGCTGACCTTTCTCCCTGTGGGATTTGCTCTCACTGCCTGGATGTAATTTACCTGCCCCATCTGTTGTGGCTGAGCGTTTCGTCGCTGGGAGGAACATCCGCGTATTTGTCCAGAGACCGAATCTCTGCTTAGCTAAAGTGCATTCCTAGAAGGGGCGTTGTGGGGCCACAGGATGGAACAGAAGGGGCAACCTCCCCTTTCCCGGGTGTCTGGAAGATGCTTCCTGCTCCCTGGGCTATGGGGGAGACGCAGGCAGAGGCCCAGGCCGATTCCTGAGAAGCGCTGCGGTTGCAGGAGCAGGCAGGTCAGAGGAGAGAGGAATGAATTACGGTTTGTGCTCTCCTAAGTCCAATCGGAGAAAATGGAGTTCATCCTCCTCTGAAGACAGAATGTACTTTTCTGGAATCGATCTGGGGTTGAGGGGGGAGGTTGATTACTCCAAATAAACATCCATGGCATGCTGAGAGACAGCCTCCATTACTACCTTCCCAGATTCCTAGTTGGATGGACATCCCGGGTCCCCAGGGCTGGCAGGTCACGCTGGACTGGAGTTCATGGCCATTGCACATCCCTAGCTCACCAGACCCACTGGCATTGACGAGACACCCCCCCCACTCCCTGTCCCACACCTCCCCCTGACCCCTCCCAACTCCCACCCCACCAAGCAGCCCCTGCCCAGGCCACGGACCCCATGCTGCTGAATCTGACAGCCACTTTCCAGCCTTCTTCTTCACCTCTCAGGAGCTGCCCGTCAAGTCCTTCCTTCTATAAGCACTTTTTTCTCTTAGCTTCCCTGGTTCTCTGTTTTTCTCCTTCAATCTACAGACTTCTTATTTACCATTTTCCTTGCTGATTTTGTATCTCCTCCCTGACCTCCTTTGGTCTTCCATCACTCTGGAATGCTCTCTTGTTTTCCTCTCTCCATTTTCTCCCAAGGCTTCCCCGGTGGCTCAGATGGTAAAGCATCTGCCTACAATGTGGGAGACCCGGGTTTGATCCCTGGGTCGAGAAGATCCCCTGGAGAAGGAAGTGGCAATCCACTCCAGTACTCTTGCCTGGAAAATCCCATGGATGGAGGAGGCTGGTAGGCTGCAGTCCATGGGGTCACAAAGAGTCAGACATGACTGAGCAACTAAACTTTCTTTTCCACTTACTAGCTGTGTGGCCTGAGGTAGCTTACTTAGCTTCTCTGTGACTCACTTGCCTCATCTCTATGATGGGTCTGATAACTACCTACCTCTCCAGGTCCTGCAAGGATGATATGCTCCCCTTCTCTCATCACAGGATTCGGCACGTAATAGGTGCCTTGTAACTATCCTCTGTGGTCACTCATTCATTCTCTGATTCACTCAGCAAGTGTTGATTGGGTGCCTCCTGCATGCTGGGCTCTATTCTAAGCGCGGAGAATACCGAGAGAACTAAACAGATGTAGGCCCTGCTTACTTGAAACTCATATCCTGGGGTAGGGGAAATAGACAGGAAGTAAGTGAATGTCCATTTGTCACATGGAAAGCAGTAACAGGGCAGAGCGAGGGGCAGGGGGCCCAGAGTCAGGCTCACAGAGCAGAGCAGCCTGGGGTTGGCTGGGCACAGCGCTGGGAGCTGGGAGCCCGTACTGCCTCGCCCCAGGCTGGCTTGGGCACCTCTGCTGGGCCCAGAACTGGCGGTTCTCGTCAACCAGTGCTGGGCTAGTCCTGGGAGTGCAGAGGGAACCACTAACCATAAAGGTTAGACACCATAAAGGAGTCTAAAAGCCCAGTGTTCAGCGTGCAGTCCTTAACCTGCTCTGGCTTTGTGCTCTTGGAGCACAGTGTGATACCAGGTGGGCTGTACCTTGATACCATGGGACCCCCTAGGCTCCTGCCTTAGGAACAGGCATCCGGTGACTGAGGCTCATTTGCAGACCAAGGCTTACAGTTGAGTAGGTGGCATAGTCTCATCTGGATGAGGCCAGGACTGGACCAGACAGAGCTCTCAGTGAGGAGTGGTCACAGGGAACCTCACCTGGGAGCATGGGAGCGTGCAAATCAGATCCCAGGACCATAATAAGCTTCCAGGTGATTCTGCTGCAGCCCTAGCTGGAGAAGGGCTCCGTCAGTTTTGAATGGCAGGGCATCCTTGGGTTGGCAGTGCAAGCTCAGGGAGGAAGGCCTCGGTGAGTGCTGGCTGCACCCCTTTCAGAGTGTCCCAGGCAAGAGGGGCACCACCCCCCGCCTCTGCTGACCTGGTCTCCTCCTTCTCCCAGGACCCCAAGTGATGGTGGTTTACACGGAGGAGGAGCTGAGCCCTGCGAGACTGGTTAGCACGGCGGAGCTGGGAGCGGTGCCTGCTGGCTGGCGGGAGTGAACGTGAGATCTCAGCGTCTCAACTCGAGAGGAAGCATGTCTAAGAAAGGCCGGAGCAAGGGCGAGAAGCCCGAGATGGAGATGGACCCGGTGCAGATGGCCAACGAGGAGCTGCGGGCCAAGCTGACCAGCATTCAGATCGAGTTCCAGCAGGAAAAGAGCAAGGTGGGAGGGGCGCGGGTCTCCCGGCTCAGGTGAGGGGTGGGCTGTGAACTCCTGGTGGACAGACTGCCCCGGGAGGGTGTCTCCTAGGGCTGGGGTGGGATTGGACATTCCACCTCTCTGAGCCTCAACTTGCCCCTCAATAAAATGGGTATAACATCGGTACAGAGGCCATGAGGGTGTGAATCCTGCCCCACCCCCTACCTTTGGCTCTGATCTCAGGCCAGTTGCTTCACTCTCCATACCATAACTCCCCTTGCCTGCAAGACGGGATCATAATAAGACCACCTGATGGGCTGGTGGTCAGGAGTGAGGGTGTAAATACACATACATGAAGGGCTCAGTATGGAGCCTGGCTCTGTGATGGGAGCCTTTGCTCTGGTAAGGCAGGTATGAGCTTTGGAGCTAGTCAGTACAATGCCCAGTTGGGTGCCAGTTAAAGGGCAGGCATGATGGGCAGCCAGTGACAGTGGGAGGAGCCCAGGCTTTCTAATCTTGTAGACCTGGCTTTAGACCTCACCTAGGCTCCTAACTGACTTCACAATCTTAGACAAGTGATCTAAAGCCTCTGAACCTCCATTTTCTCATCTGTAATATGGTATCATAATGACCGCCCAATTTAAGGTTGTCTTGGGCTTCCATGGTAGCTGTCGGTAAAGAATCCGCCTGTAGTGCAAGAGACCCAGGTTTGATCCTTGGGTTGGGAAGATTCCCTGGAGGAGGGCATGGCAACCCACTCCAGTATTCTTGCCTGGAGAATCCCATGGACAGAGGAGCCTGGTGGACCACAGTCCATGGGGTTGCAAGAGTCAGATACAACTTAGCGATTAAACCACCACCAAAGATCTATAAAGAAAGCTGAGTGCTGAAGGACTGATGCTTTTGAACTGTGGTGTTGGAGAAGACTCTTGAGAGTCCCTTGGACTGCAAGGAAATCCAACCAGTCCATCCTAAAGGAAATCAGTCCTGATCATTGGAAGGACTGATGCTGAAGCTGAAACTCCGATACTTTGATCACCTGATGGGAATAACTGACTCATTGAAAAAGACCCTGATGCTGGGAAAGATGGCAGGTGGGAGGAGAAGGGGAAGCCAAAGGATGAGATGGTTGGATGGCATCACCGACTCGATGGACATGAGTTTGAGCAAGCTCCGGGAGTTGGTGATGGACCAGGAAGCCTGGTGTGCTGCAGTCCATGGGGTCGCAAAGAGTCGGACATGACTGAGTGACTGAACTGAACTGAAAGATCTCAGGTGATGGAAACCAAGAAAGCCCACCTTGCACAGCCATGGTCCTTTATGTTGGTGTGGTTCTGACCCGGGTGGTTTGAGGGCAAAAGCAGGCAAGGTGGGAGGTGCTCTGCCAGCCCAGAGAGGAGCCGCCATTCGTGTGAGAAGAGAAAGAGGATGGGATTTGGGCTTGCTCCTGGGGGACCCATCTGAGGACCTTGTCTGGCTGGGGACATGAAGGTTGTACCCTCAGCCCCGCAGGTCCCCTCCCTCCCTGCCCATAGACCTGAGGGCAGGGAGGGCCTGCCCCGGGAATAGCTGCAGGTGTCTGGTTGAGAGCTGAGACTCTGGCAGCAGCTACAGTGCTGAGCAGGGTCCAGCTTCTGGGTGGGGAGGGGGCTGAGGTTTGGTCCTTGACTCTGAGCCCAGCTCAAGACGGCTGCATGGAGAACAGGGGCAGAGTCCCCGAGCTGGGGCGATGAAGACTGGGCTTCTGGAGCTTGGGGACACGTGTGCCCCCTCCCGTGCCCAGACTCTCACGGGTTCCAGAGGCAGTGCAGCCGGTCTTTCAGCACAGCTGCTGGTGGTGCAGCCTGTCCACACCCTGCCCAGCCGAGGAAGGATTCGCCTGCCAGGATCCCCCGGGGTTATCCTCTGCCCAGCTGGGCCTGAGCGGCTGACTAGGAAGGAGCAACAGCAGCTGTGTCTGTGGGACCAGCGTCATTTGACCAGGTCTCCATCCCACCTCCACCACCTAATGCGCCTTGAGGTCTTGGGGCAAGCCAGGTAGCTGCCTAATGCCTCAGTTTCCCCATCTGTTAAATGGGGACATCTGGTGTGTCTGCCTCCCTCGGTTGTCTAAGGAATGAATGAGAGTCATATCCAGGGCCCAGGGAACCGCCTGTCACGTTGTAGGTACTCAGGGATTGGCAGACATTTCTTATGTGTCTGTATGCAGGCCGCACCAGGTACCGCGGAGGGCCTCCTGACCCTCGCAGTGACCTGTGAGGTTAGGTGAGGCTCTCCCCACTTTGTTGTCCTTTTGTTGCTAAGTCGTGTCTGATTTTTTGCGACCCATGGAGTGTAGCCTGTCAGGCTTCTCTGGCCATGGGATTTCCCAAGCAAGAATACTGGAGTGGGTTGCCATTCCCTTCTCCAAGGGATCTTTCTGATTCAGGGATCGAACCCACATCTCCTGAATTGTCAGGCAGGTTCTTTACCGCTGGGCCACCTAGGAAGCCACCTTCTCCCCACTTGATAGGTGAGCAGGCTGAGGGTCAGGGAGAAGAGGTGGCCGGGCTTCCGTAAACAAAATACCACAGACTTGGAGGCTCTGACCACAGAAATTTATTTCCTCCTAGTCCTGGAGGTTGGGAGTTTGAGATCAGGGTTCAGGCAGAGTTGGTTTCCTCCTGGGGCCTCTCTCCTAGGCTTATAGATGGCCGTCTTCTGCCTGTGTCCTCAGATGGTCTTCTCCATGTGGGTCTGTGTTCTAATCTCTTCTTATAAGGGCACCAGTTGTATCGGACCAGGACCCCACCCTCATGACCTCATTTAACTTAGTGACCTCTTTTAAGATGGTCTTCAAATACAGTCACATTCTGAGGTTCTGGGAGGGGTGGAGTTAGAACAACCACACAGGAACTTGGTGGACATGATTCAGCCCATCACAGCAGGACAGTCCAGTCGTGGGTGTTGGCACGGGGTTGGAAGCCTGGCCTATGAGAACCCCAGCCTGTGCCTACCTGTCCCCAGCACCTTCTGCCATCACATGCCCTGGCTGCCGTGTTCTCAATCCAGCCACCTCGTGAACCTTCCAAGGGTGTGTGGAGAGGCTTTCTGTTCTTGGAGAATTCAGCAATGTGTTTACTGGCTGGTATGACAACCTGTGAAAGTTGCTCAGTCGTGTCTGACTCTTCGGAACCGCATGGACTATACAGTCCATGGAATTCTCCAGGCCAGAATACTGGAGTGGGTAGCCTTTCCCTTCTCCAGGGGATCTTCCCATCCCAGGGATCGAACCAGGGTCTCCTGCATTGTAGGTGGATTCTTTACCAACTAAGCTATCACGACAAACATACATATAAACCTTACAACTGCATTTAACTGTTACATTTATATGATCTCGTGATACCCAGTTTTGATGTTGCAACATTTATAGTCTTGTTACTTCAGTAGATGAGCCCATAGGATCAAGGGTTGTTGGGAACACACCTGTTGGTTCTTTGAGCCCCCCTAGGCCTGTGTCCGAGGCCTGAGCTGGGCATTTGGAGATGACTCAGAAATGACCCCATTCTCAGACAGGCCGGGTACTCAGATGTTCAGGGGGCTAGGCGGATGACAGTACTTGGCTTGTGGCACCAGAGATCTTAGGAAACCATGCAGTGGTCAGAGGGGCCCGAGAAAGCTTTGCAGAGGTGGTCTGGAGCCAACTCTGAAGGATTTTGCTAGCTGGTGAGAAAGGGAGCAGGATTCACACCATCCCAAGCATCCAGCATCACCTGGGGGCTTCCTCAGTGTCACCTGGGGTACCAGGCTACTAGGGGCAGAGTCCCTGACTTGTTGAGGCCCACATTCTGGGGTGGGTAGCAGCAGAGAGGGCAGTGGTCAGTACATGGGCTCAAGATAAGCCATGGAGCTTCCAGTTGCTGCCCACCACTCAACAGCTGGTGATTCCTGCAGTGAGCAGCCCATCCTGGTCTGGATCTACCCTGTGTCAGGGACTTATCCAGCTATAGAAGTGAGTCAGGCCCTGTCCTGCCCTGCAGGGGCTAGCCTAGTGGGTATGCTGGGAGGGTTGGAACTGAGATGTGTTCTGTGCGGTGATGGAGGGAATCACACCCCAGGGACCCAGAGGAGGCCCTGACCCAGTCAAGGAAGGCTTCCAGACCCTCCTGGAGAATGGAGGGCAGGCACCAGGTAGAGGGACCAGAGAGCCTAGGAGCCGGGACCCCCGGGGGAATGGATGCTGTCATTGATTATTTACAAACTGCCAGGCCCGTTATCCTTTCATTCTTTCTTTTGCTCAGTCCACAGCTGGTTATTGAGCATCTACCGTGTGCCATGCCCTGTCCCAGAAACCGCGCTGTCCTGGAGACCCTCTCCCGAAGCTGGTGTCTAGTGGGGGAGGTGGGGGGCAAAGGCCGGGAGATGAACATGTGATATTTGTTCCATAGTGAAAAGTGCCAAGAAAGTAAGACTGGAGAAGCAGGTGGCGTGGGATTGGAGTAGGGGTGGCTCTTTGGGGAGGTGGTCGGCAACACAGGGGCGCTGCAGGTGGGGGAGGGCAGGCCCTGCAGAGACCTGGCCGCGAGCCCTCCAGGCAGAGGGAACAGCTCGGGAAAAGGCCTGCAGGTGGGAAGATGCCTGCATGTTCGAGGTGCAGCGGGCAGGGAGGTGGCCTGAGCTGGGCGGTCAGGGAGGAGGACCAGAGAGCCATAAACCAGGGTCAGTCCTGCGGGCCGGGGAGGACTCTGGCTTGTGTGTTGCATGCGACAGAGCTCTCGAAGGTTTCTGCTTGTGTTCTTTTGTATTTTTTGTATGTGTCCATTCAATCATTTATATCACTACGAACTCTCATTTTATACTTTGGGTTGTCATCCAATACTATTAGGTTGGCCAAAAAGTTTGTTTGGTTAATGAATACATTGTTCAACGAAGTTCTCGGTGAAAATGAAAAATGTCTTTTATTTTCACTTAAAACCGAGTGGACTTTTTAGCCAACCTGATACCTTATTTTGCTCAAACCTTTCCAGCTTTGGCCACTGGATCTCTTCTAGCTGGCTCCTGTGTCCCTTTGACACCCCCGCCACTGTGGCCTTTCTTTGTTAATTTATTCTCGGGCTCACCCCTACTTTCTGGTTCTGTAAGGTGCTCCTGGTTCATCTTGGATGTTCCCTGCCCCATCCCTAGAGCCACTCACCAAGGCTCTCTTGTCGCTTTTATTGGAAAATGGCTTGAGAAACCAAGATCTGGGCACTGGGGGTGCTCACCATTGCTGGCATGCCGTTACTTCTGGGCTTAGCTAGAAGAGCAAGGAAGTGTATGCATATATACTAACTGTGTATGTATACATATCTAAGATATTTCTAAATGTAACATCTAAATGAATTTTAAGTTAAAGGTGAGTTCTTACTGACGTCCCCTGCCTAATCCACTACCACTTGGATCCTCTGGCCTCCTCCCCTTGTGTATGGTGTCCTTTCTGCAGCAGAGAGAGCCTGACCCCACCACCCACTTAGTTACTCAACACTCTGCACACACCCGGGTTTCAGAACAATTAGCCTGCACCCTGTGGATTCAGAGGATAGTGGAGGGAAAGCATCTAACATGCGTTCAGAGGCCTGTGCTGGCCACCAGGGGGCGACTCAGGGGCGAGTGCACAGGGGAAGAGGCAGGGCGATTGGTGAGGAGGTGACGGCCCTGTCTCTTAAGAGGGCTGCAGCTGCCAGCTTGAGCCAGGGTGGTCGCAGGGATGGGTTGAGGAGCAGGGGAGACAGCCAAGCAGAGGCTGACTTCACTGTGCTGATTCGGGGCCGGTGGGCAGCATTCTTCCCATCAGCCCCTCCCGCCTCGATGCGTGCCCTTTCTCGGTCATTTTGCCCTTGTTGCATATAGAGCCCAGATGCTGAGACAAGGCTGGTAAGGTCCCCTCTCTCCTGCTGCCCCTCTGGACTTTGTGGGGCAGCTTAGAGGTGTCTGGCGAGTACAGTGACACCCTGACTTCTGTCAGCCTGCTCAGCTGGATGGAGTAAGGAGGGGGTGCTCTGTGCACACCAGGGGCCGCCCCCGCCTCACCGTGCTACACTTGGTCGTGGTGCCTGGACTTGGCGCTTTTCTAGGCAGAGCTGGTAGGACCCAGCAGGGTCTTCTCCCCCGGCCCATCCACTGTGAGCATCCCTGGGCCCTCTGTTACTGTCAGCATCAGCTGGCCCCCTCTGCCCATCCCAGGGACAGGCCCGGCCTCCCCCACCCCCAGGCTGCCCTGCACACACCTCTGTTCACACTGTCCACCTCCCTCCTTCTTTTACTTATTGGGGACCAAACTTCCCTTCATCCACTCATCTACTTTCAGCTTTCCTCCTCCCAAGACTCTTCAAGGGGCAGCTGGTGACGAACCTGTTTCATAGGGAAGGATCTGGAAGGTTTTATAGTCAGGGTTCTCCAGACAGAAAGAGAACCAGTAGGAGAGAGAGATGGAGGGGGATTTTTTTTTCCCCAAAATGATGGCTCACCTGGTCACAGAGACTGGCAAATCTGAAATCTGCATAGTAGGCAGGCTGGAAGCTTCAGGGAGCATGGATTTCACAGTAATGAGGCAGAATTCCTTTTTCATCAGGGCATTGCAGTCTTTTCTGATAAGACTTTCAGCTGATTTAAGGCCTTAAATAATGTGAGGTCCACTCACATTATAGAGGCTCATCTGTTTTACTCCAGGGCTGCTGATTTAAATATTAATCATTAAAAAATACCTTTACAGCAGCATCTAGACTCGTGTCTGGCTCAGAACCACAGCCCTGCCCAGTGAACATGTAACCATTAACCATCTCAAGGTTAGCTAATTTGCCAAGAGAAATGCGTTCATTGGCACAGATTCAGAATCCAACAAGATCCCATCCTTTTGACTTCAGATCACTGTCAGTGTTAATCCAGGAAGTCAGGACAGAGTTGCTCCCTCAGAAGGAGTGTGCTGGAAGCACTTAGTTCCTCCCTGGGAAATCATGTTCAGTATTTAAAGTTCTGGCATCCTGGCCCTCGGTCCCTTAGGAAGAGGCCCATTCTAGCTCTCAGGCAAGATGGGCCTTCTGACTGCATCCTTGCTTTTTTTCCGTGATTGTGTTTGATGTAAGGAGACTTGTATCTTTGCCTAGTAGGTTTTATTTGCTCTTTTCCCTGATGTTTTAAGGATTTGTCCACCCCAGGTAACATTGTAAAACTCCTCACCTAAAATTAATTTCAGCATGTTGGTGTGCTATAAACAGTGTGGTCCGGGGGAAATGATGCCACTTCCCATGGAAACAGCCTGTCCATGAGAGACGCATTTGTTTCGGTTCTTTGGAGATTGGTGTCATTTAGAAAACAAATGGATTCCTGTGTAATGTGTGTAATTGTGTGATATTTGGAATGGAAAGATCGAATAAAGCCTTTCGGAGTATTTGAAGAAAACACTCCCTTGGCACATTTTACAAATAACGTTTGCTGAATAGACAAATACGTTCTGGTGGGACTGGCAGCCTGGCATCTGCAGAACACTTTCTCTGGGGCCAGAGACCTGGGAGTAAAGCCTGGCTCTGCCCCTTGCCAGCTCCTCACCCCAGGCAGGTCACTGGGACATCTCTGAGCCTTAGTTGCATGCATGCTCAGTGATATCCAACTCTTTGTCACCCTATGTACTATAGCCCGCCTGGCTCCTCTCTCCATGGGATTTCCCAGGCAAGAATACTGGAGTTGCCATTTCCTCCTACAGGGGATTTTCCTGATCCAGGGATCGAACCCACATCTCCTGCATCTCCTACATTGGCAGGCAGATTCTTTACCACTGAACCACCTGGGAAGTCCAAACCTTGGCTGCTTCCTGGTAAAACAGTTGCCCACATCCTGGGGTAGTGAGGGGTTCATGCCGCTGTGGCGCTGGAGCCCAGTCCCAGCTGGGGAGTGAGGACACCTCTGTTCCCCCCCACCACCCCTTTCTACCTCCAACTGCTCCGTCTCCTCTAACTCCAGAGCTCAGGGCAGGAGCACTGGAAATGTATTTCTGGTCTACACTTTGATGAGACAGATGATTACTGCAGGGCATATTTTGTGACTGATAAATTGTCCTTCCTCGGAAAAACTCCAAGTCGGAGGGGACGTCAGAGCCTGACCCTCCTCTCCAACACCTTCAGATGGCTTTCCACGACTGGGGAAATCTCAGTAAAACAGCAGGGAAGAGTCTGGACGGGGCTGATGGAGGTGGCCGCAGGGGGAACTGGAGGGTGGGGGCCCAGGAGGGTCTCAGGGGCCTGTCACACAAACAGGGGCTTGGGAAGGTGGCAGCGAGCCTGGCCAGGGCCCCCCGCCCTGGCCCTGACCCTGACCGAGTCTCCCCGCTCTGGCCGCAGGTGGGCAAGCTGCGCGAGCGGCTGCAGGAGGCCAAGCTGGAGCGCGAGCAGGAGCAGCGACGGCACACGGCCTACATCTCGGAGCTCAGGGCCAAGCTGCACGAGGAGAAGACCAAGGAGCTGCAGGCGCTGCGCGAGGTGCTCATCCGCCAGCACGAGCAGGAGGCGGCGCGCACGGCCAAGATCAAGGAGGGCGAGCTGCAGCGGCTGCAGGCCACGCTGAACGTGCTGCGCGACGGCGCGGCCGACAAGGTCAAGACGGCGCTGCTGGCCGAGGCGCGCGACGAGGCGCGCAGGGCCTTCGACGGCGAGCGCCTGCGGCTGCAGCAGGAGATCCTGGAGCTCAAGGCGGCACGCAAGCAGGCGGAGGAGGCGCTCAGCAACTGCATGCAGGCCGACAAGACCAAGGCGGCCGACCTGCGCGCCGCCTACCAGGCGCACCAGGACGAGGTGCACCGCATCAAGCGCGAGTGCGAGCGCGACATCCGCCGGCTGGTACGTGCGCGGCCCCGCCCCGCCTCGTGTGCGCGCCGGTCCTGCTGCACACGCACCCCCGCGCTTCCCGCTCATGCGTGCCCTGTCCTTGTACACAGGCACCCCGTCCTCCCTGCCCACAGACAACCCCTCCTTCCGTGCACACGCGCCTCATCCATCCCTGACGCATGCGCATGACCTCTCTGCAAGCACGTGCCCCATCCTCCCCTCTTGGAGCAGTAAATGGGGACCATTGAGCTCCTGGCCTGGCTCTTGGCCCTAGGGTTCCAGCAAAGTCCCTCCCATCCTGGGTCCGGAATGGAGGCTTTGGCAGGGCTCTCCTGTCGGTGGGAGACACCGTAAGAAATTGAAGGACTGGAGGCGGAAGGACCAGGTGTCCTTTTGAAGTCCTGTCCAGCTGTCCATCCCTAGACTGATCACCAGCCAGTGACTGAGCATCAGTTCACATCTTAACAATCCACTACCAAGAATGGCAGAAGAGATGCACTGATTTTAAATTTCTAATATATAGAAAATCTAAGCACATGCCAGGACTGAGGTCTCAGAGGTGTTCCGCAGCCCCTTCCCCCTCCGTGTACGGAGGTGGTGTTGTCACCTAATAGGAAGAGAAGGCTTTGGAGAAGGTCTCTTCTGGATGTGAATCTAGACTCCTTCACTTGTCAGCTGTGTGACCCCGATCAGGTTGCATACGGTCATTAAATCTCTGGTGCCTCATCTGCAGAAGGAGAAATGATCCCATATCTGTTCCAGCATGCTGAGAATTAAGTTAAGCCTCTATCAACAGCCTATAGTTTCTGTAATAGGAGACATATAAAATGTTCCTCTGTCATAGGAAATGTATAAAAAAAGGGGAAGTGTTAGTCACTCAGTCGCTATAGCCATGGACTATAGCCCATCAGGCTCCTCTGTCCATGGGATTTTCCAGGCAAGAATACTGGAGTAGATTGCCATGCCTTCCTCCAGGGGATCTTCCTGACCCAGGAATACGAACCCAGGTCTCCCACATTGCAGGCAGATTCTTTACTGGCTGAGCCACCAGAGAAGCCCCAGCAAATGCATATTTAAGGGAAATAGAACGGGGAGAAGACAAGTATTTGCCCAAGAGATGGACTGAGCTTAATTTAAAATGTACCGAGGACTTGGTGTCTGTGTGTGTGTGTCAGTCACTCAGTTGTGTCCAGTGCTCTGCGACCCCATGGACTGTAGCCCCCCAGGCTTCTCTGTCCACGGGATTCTCCAGACAAGAATCCTGGAGTGGGTTGCCATTCCCTTCTCCAGGAGATCTTCCCGACCCAGGGATTGAACCTGGTTCTCCCACGTTGCAGGCACATTCTTTACCATCTGAGGCACCAGGGAAGCCCAAGGACTTGGTATCTGTCTCCATTCCAGCGCCAAGTAGAAATATCCCCAGTTCCGATTGTCTCAGTGTGTGGGGGCCTCTTAGGAGAATAGAGTGAAAAGAACTAATGTTCACTTCCCCAGCTGTTCCCCCATTTGATAAATGTCCCTCCTCAGACAGGCCTCTTGGCAGACTGTTCAGAAGGTGGCCTGCATTTTGTTTCTTTGTCAGCTGAATTGGATTAAAAATGCAGGAAGGCCTCCAGGCTTCCGCTTACACATGTAACATGCCTCTTAAGAAACAATTGAGGAGAAAAAGGCAGCTGTGGTCAGTGTGGGGCCATTGGACTCATTCCTTAGATCAATTAGGATTAGGTCTGAGAACTCTGTTACACAGGGGCTTAAAATCTGGAATTTATTTCGCTGTGATGTGCAGAGTCTGGAAAGGGCTTCAGAGAGCGTGCAGGCCACAGGGCCACTCAGCTCTCCCCTCAGAAGGGGCTCTGCAAGGCGGCCCTGTTCCTCATGGCCCCTCCTGCTGCAGAGTGCCAGCCATCACATCTTTATCCCGGGTTGGCAGTAGGAGGGCAGATGAAGGAGGGTGTAGTCGTCTTCCACCCTCCCGTGGTTGCTGGGAATCCTTGGCCTTCCTCTGCTCACACTGTATTACTCCAGCCTCTGCCTCCATGTGGCCTTCTCCTCCCTACATAGCTGTGTCTTGTCCTCTTTTTCTAAGGACACCCATTAGTGGATCTAGCTGTGTTGTGTTAGTTAGTTAGTCGTGTCTGACTCTTTGCAACCCCAAGAGCTCGCTTGGTTCCCCTGTCCGTGGGATTTCCCAGGCAAGAATACTGGAGTTGGTTTTTATTCCCTTCTCCAGGGGATTGTCCCAGACCCAGGGATGGAACCCAGGTCTGCCCACATTGCAGGCAGATTCTTTACCATCTGAGCCACCAGGGAAGACCCATCCCAATCTGTTATGACTTCATCTCAGCTTAACATCTTAGTTACATCTGTAAAGATCCTATTTCTGACAGGTTCATATTCTGATTTTCCAGGTAGATGTGAAATTAGATGGGGACACCATTCCTCCACAGGTACCAAGGAGGAGAAGAGAATGGGTCTAGGGGTAGCAGCTTGATTCCTCAGACTTTGCAGTGAAGAAGCGCTAACAAAATTATCCCCAAATAGATGGATTTGTTGGGAGCTGGCTAAACTGCGGTGTTCACTGAGGCACGTGCGCTGCTGGATGTGCTTGCTGAGAAGTGGCTAGATTCTGTGCCTCTGGGGGCAGAGAGAGGGCATAGGGAGGGCTCTGGAGAGACTGGCTTGAGCCTGATTTATGGATTTGCTGCTGCCTAGAGTGTGGGCACATTCACTGCTCTGGGCCTCAAGCTTATCTGTAAAATGGGATAATGTCTACATAGAGGGTCTTTTAAAGACTGAGAAAGAGCATGTCTCTTAAGTACAAATGTTTTCCTAAGCTCACAGTAGCATGTAAGTAAGAAGTGATAGCCATCATCCAGACTGTTGTTTTTTCCCTGTCTGTTAGAATCTTATGGTTGCAAGTGACAGAACTTCTACCTCAGACCAGTTTTCTTGACTAAAGAAGCTGGACTAGCCTCAGGCACAGCCCCAGTGGGACTAATGATATCACCCAGGACCTGGGTTTCTTAGGCTCTGCCCTGTCTTTTATTGTTCTCAGACTTTATACTCTCACTGCGATGGTGAGATGCCATCCTTGTGTCAGACTCTACCTCCTCACAAGAAACAGCCCAGAGAAAGTGAGAGAAGCTCTTTCTTAGCTCCTAAGAAGAAATAGGAGGGTCCTGGCAACACCTTTTTAGGCTGTTGGCTCTGAGTGGGTCACTATCCGTCCCTGAACCAATTACTATTAAGGGGTGGGGCCATGCAGGTGGTGTGAGCCAATCAGGGCCTGCCCTGGGAATTTGGAGCAGTTCAGCCCCACCCCTCTCCTGAACCACATGGTGAGAATGAGAGTGTGGGAGAAGGAGAAATGGATGTAGGGATCAATCCAGGAATGTCCCGCACACTCAGGTGATGGGGTTCAGGGATGCTCAAGAAGGTCACTGTCAGAAGGTCACCCTTCATCACCATCCTCAGAGCAGGAGGCAGGATCACTAAGATCAGTTTGGGCACCAGACCAGAGTCAACAAACAAGAGTGCCTGCACAGCTGTGTGAGCTGGCAGGTCTCCTGACCTCTGGAACCTCAGGACTCTGGCTGGGGAAATGTGACAGCCTAGAAAATGTTGGCTCCAGAAACTACACCATTGTTGTCCATCCATTCCTGGATGCCATCTCCACCAGTGGAGGCTGTTTTCTAGGAACGTCTGCCATGTGATTGGGTTTAAGCCTTTTGTTCACTTCCTGGAATCAAGTAGGGAACTGATGCTCTTCTAAGCTGAGAATTTCCAGAGACATCTTGCTTGTGATGCTGTGCTCTCTTGTGGAAGGGACTAGTGTGATGTGGTGGTGGAAGGAAGTGCTTCCTGGCCCCAGAGCAAAGCCAGAAGTGTGCAGCCAGAATGATGAGGGGGACAGACTGGAGCCCTACCTGTTAACTTGTAACAACTCACATCACTAATTCCCCTGGCTTTATTTTTTCTCCTAGCACTAAGCATGCTCTAGTCTACTCCAGTATTGACTTCTGCTTTCAGCTACCCTCCCCTCTGTAATGAAAGCTCTGAGGGCAGGGACTCTGATCTGTTTTGCTCATCAGTGTTTCCCAGCATCTGTTGATGGCACTCAATTCAGTATTGTTGAATTCACGAAAACAAGTTTAAGTGGTTTAAATTAATGAACTCCTTTCCCATCATTCTTACTGTTTCTGAATTGAAATCGGCAGTGGCAACAATGTTTCCCGCATTATTAAGAGTTCTTCCCTACAGCGGGGAGCTGCTCCCCACACCTTCAAAGCAGGTTTAGCCAAAGCGGGGAGCTGCAGACGGACCGTCACCAGGGGGAGCAGCAGGCATGTTCTGCAGGTGCTGAAGGAGACGCTGCACTCGGCACATCCTTGGCTGGAGATCCAGGAGATTGTCTTGAGGGGCGGGAAGGGATGCAGAAGGAAGGGGAGCAGCCTTTTTTTTTTTTTTGCAAAGAAAGACCACTCAAAGAGCTTGTCAGAATTCTGGGACTTAGCTTGAAAACCTCAGTCTGGAGTTTTAGGGGTACCATTTTCCTCCTTTGTAAATCTCAGTTATATTTTATCAGTTATTCATGGTCTGCTGTTTAAATAAGATAGCCAGGAGCTAAACTAGATTAATGATGGCAGTTAACATTGATTGTGTGCTTATAAGGTGCCAGGTTCTGTGATAGATTCTTCCCGTGGTTGATCCACATCTCCTCTTGTTTAGAGAGGATGTTCTCAGTGTCCCTGCGTTACTGAGGCTGAGGCTAAGAGAGGTGACCTAGCCTGCCCAGAGTCACACAGCTGGTGGGGGCGGGGATTTGAACTGGCTTCTGTCCGCCCTCAGGGCAGGGTTCTTAACCAGTATTCTCTGCTTTAGCCATCTGTGCCTCAATTCAAGGTATTATGATTCAGACAGAAGGAGGAGTTTCAACTTCTGATTCAGGTTATAATCAACTTTAGTTTGTACGCTAGAGCGTGCTGAGTGAGAAGAGCATTTGTAATTGTCTTCTGGGGCTGCCTTAACAAATGGCCACAGTCACACTGAAGTTTACTCCCTCACTGCTCTGGACGCCAGACGTCCAAAGTCAAGGTTTCAAGCAGGGTCGTGCCCCCCTGAAGTCTCCTGGGGCTTCTGGGGGCTCCAAGCGTTCCTGGGCTTCTGCCTGCATCACTCCAATCTCTGCCCCCCTCTTACATAGCTCCCCTCTGTGTTTTTCTTCTTCCTCTGCATCTTCTCTTTGTCCTGTGGGGATGCTTGGCATTGGATTTAGAACCCACCCAGTTAATCTAGGATGATCTCCTCATCTTAAGGTCCTTAATTACACCTGCAAAGACCCTTTTCCAAGCAAGTTTCTGTTCACAGGTATCTGAAGTCAGGATGTGGACATACCGTTTTAGGAATCACAATTCAAACCACTTCAGTGTTCTTCATATTTGCACACCAGAGGAGATAAAAGTCTAGGAAGGACAGGAACAACTACTTACTGAGACCTACTATGTGCCTGCAACAGTTATAATTAGAGTAGTTTATTTTATGCCTACCGTGTGTTAGGCACTTTCCATGTATTCATTTCACCCTCACAGCATCCCCATGATTATCCCCATTTCCCAGATGAGAAAACTGAGGCATAGGAAGAAATCAGGTAACCAAACCAAGGTAATGGAGCCAGTGAGTGGTGGCCTTAGGGCTAGAACCCAGCAATTCAGTGGCCTTGCTCCTAAGCAGCCTTCCTGCCTGTTTTCCCCTTCTGTCCTCACAGTTCCCCTTCTAGGTGGAGGTGCCTACTCCCCCATTTTACAAGTGAGCCTGAAGCCTGGAGAGGTCAAATGCCTTGCCAGAGGTCACACAGCTCACCAGTGGGGGCTTAGTCTCCAGTTCATACCTTCTTACTCCACGCCTAGTTCTTTTCCCTCTGTGGCAAGCTGTTTTATAGCACATGGCTTTAACCTCTGTGTTGGGTAATCAAGGCAATATCCACATTATTTAACCTTACATACAGGCTTGCTCATGGTGGGTATGCACAGGTATGTGTTAAATTAACACCATGTCATGAAGACTCTATCCAGAGTTTGTTGAAACCATTCTTACTTAAGCATTAGTATTCTTTTCAGAAGTTTTTTTTGTGTATCTTATCTCAGATAGAATTTATTCCTAAATCCCATGGTGATAATCACTGTCATTGAAACTATTATGATTTTTGTCAATTAATGAAACTCCAGTACTGGGAAATTTTCTCTTTTAACACCTGTATTAGTTTCCTAGGACTGCTGTTACAAAGTACCACGAATTTTGGGTGGCTTAAGCAACAGAAATGTATTCACTCAGTTTTGGAGGCTGGAAGTCTGAAGTCAGGGTGTGGCAGGACTTTGTGCTCTGGAGGCTCTAGGGGAGGGTGCTTCCTGCGTCTTCCAGCTTCTGGTGGCTCCAGGTGTCCTTGGCTTGTGGCCGCATCACCCCAGTCTCTGCAGTCATCTTCTCCCCGTGTTTGTCTGTCTTTCCTCTTATAAGGACACCAGTCATTAGAGCCCACCTGACTCCACTGTGACCTCATCTTAACTAATTATATCTGCAAAGACCCTATTTCCGAATGAAGTCACATTCTCAGGTGGTAAGAGGGGCATGGATTTGGGGAACGGGCACGCCAGCACCCCACCCTTCCTGGAGCAGTTTCCCAGCTGTTGGCTTTTGTGTCCAGAAACAACTGAAGTGTATGGTATGTGGCAGAAGCTTCCCCTTCATAGGCTTCTTTCCCGTGGGGAATGAGGGACAAGGCTGGGCGAGCTGGGGCTCACGCCGAGGCTCGCACACAGGGAGACCGAGGTGCTCTGGGGCCCCCAGAAGCAGCTGGTCAGTTCTCTGACTGTGGGACTCTGCGAGATGTCAGGGCAGGGGGAGAAGGATGGAGCTCCAGCTGCATATAGGGAGTTAGTGTCACAGGTGAGGACTTGGCTAGTCGGGGAGAGGCTACATATGGGAAGAGGAAACTACTTGGAAACTACAGAGTTCCATGGTGACCAGGGGAGGACGAGTCTATAAAGTAGATGGAGACAGTCCCACGGAGGGCAGGAGGGCAGGAGGAGTTTGTGAAGCAGGGAGTTGGTGAGAGTGTTAGATGGGGTGAGAAGAGAGGACAGAAAATTGTCCAGTGAGTTTGGACGCCAGGAGAGGGTTGGAGACCCTAGCGAGAGCTGTTTACTGGAGGGGTGCAGCCCACTCCAGTGTTCTGGCCTGGAGTGTCCCAGGGACAGAGGAGCCTGGTGGGCTGCCCTCTATGGGGTCGCACGGAGTTGGACACTACTGAAATGACTTAGCAGCAGGAGGAGACACAGCCAGACGGAAGTGGGAGACAGGAGGATAGCCAACTCCCGACCAAGCTGAGCTGCAGGGGGCAGGGTGGGGGAGTGGCTGGATGGCCCTGGAAGGTCAGGATTTGACTTTATTTTGTGAAGGTAAGAGAGAAAGAAACATAGATCATTTCGGGGTAAGTGTCTGATTGATGGTATAGGTTGAACCCTCCGCTCTGTGCTGGGGCTGGTGATTGACGGGGGAGCGGGGCCTGGGCCATGCCCTGCGGCGTCTCTCTGCCCCGTGTTGCCGAGTCCAGCCGCCCTGGATCCACGGAGCTGCTGAACCCTTCCCTGGGCCCGAGGCCAGCAAGGGAGAGCTCTCCTTGGTCACAAGCCCCTACAGTCAGCTGCTTGTTCTTTCTCTTTTCAGATGGATGAGATCAAGGGGAAAGATCGTGTGATTCTGGCCTTGGAGAAGGAGCTCGGTGTGCAGACTGGGCAGACCCAGAAGCTGCTGCTTCAGAAAGAGGCTTTGGATGAGCAGCTGGTTCAGGTCAGAGAGGCTGAGCGGTACCACAGTAGTCCAAAGAGAGAGCTCCCGCCCGGCATAGGGGACATGGCCGAGCTCATGGGCGTCCAGGTGAGGGGCTCACCAACCACTGGGGCCATCGAGCCGACCGCCTACCCATTCCTCCCGCCGGTCATTCTTCTGGCGAACTTGCCTGCCTGCCTTCCCCCCATCCCTCCTCCTTCCTTCCCATCCATCTGCACACCCTTCCTTCTCGCCCTTACCCCTCCCACTACACGTGCAGACATTCACTGCGGCCAGGCCCAGTGCTAGGCACAGGGAGTGCAGAGGTGAAGAACGGGCTGCTCTTGCCTCTCGTGGTCTTAGAGTTCAATTGAAAAGAAAGAAAGGAAAGCATGAGAGCTGAGTATCCAGTGAGAGCTCAGAAAGGGACTGGGTGAGGACAGGACATGGTTTAAAGGCAGAGCTCCCTGCCCAGGAGAGGGATCAGCCAGCAGACAGGATACCTGGGGCCACAGGTGGTAATTAAGAGGCACAGAGGAGGCCGAAGCTACAGGCATTCATTCATTCACTCATTCATTCACTAAATACTCAAGTGTCTGTCGGGCAGGCTGTGTGCAGACACCACATGAGGTCCTGGCATCTCAGTGGTGAGTGAGGTGGGCATAGTGCCTGCCCTTGAGGAGCGTCCTGGCACATCGGTGATGTGCCTTCATCAGAGATGCTCAGAGAGCAGGGGCTGAGATGAAAGGTCCCCAGGTCTTAAGGAGCCGCTGGAGGGTTTGCAGTCTCATCGCCTTGGAGCTGGTCTTTCCACATGTTGCTTGACTTGGGGGAGCCCCAGCACGGCTGACAGTCCCCCTAATGAGGAGCTCACCTTTGTCCTGAGAGTTTTCCAAGAAGGGTCCATGAAGCGCTCTGACTCAGTTAAGCTTTTTCAAAGTACATTTGTGTCTTGATTCTATTTTAGGATCAACATATGGACGAGCGAGACGTGCGGCGATTTCAGCTAAAAATTGCTGAACTGAATTCGGTGATACGGAAGCTGGAAGACAGAAATACCCTCTTGGCAGACGAGAGGAATGAACTGGTAATCAGCACCTGCTCCCAGAGAGGCAGATGGAGCCTGTGGGTTTCGGGAGAGCAGTCCTGGGACCACAAACCAAGCCCTAAACAAGAAGTTAATACACAGGCTGTCTGGTTTTCTCTACTTTCCCCTGATTTCTTCCTGATTAAAAATTTAACACATGCTTATTGAAGAAACCTGTTAGTACCCTTAGTTTCTACAAGAATTTATCCTGAGTTGACAATCAGAGAAGTTCAGTGAGGGGTCCATGGAGAGGGTGTTCATTTCAGTGTTGTCTCTTTATAGTCAGCAACCAAAACTGAACCCAAATGAAACCAAGCCCCAGTTGTTCGATCCTTGAGTACTGATAAAAATAATTATGGAACATTTATGCAGTGAATTGCATGCAGTCATTAAGAATGGTGTTTTAGATCATATTTAACTGCTGTGGAAATTTGTCCACAGTAAATTAAATGATAAAAGCGGTTTACAGAACAAAAATACATTATCGTCATCCTGGATATTGGAAGTTGCTTTAGGTGGTGTGATTATGGACAGTCTCTATTTTTTGCTTATTTATTTACTTTCTTTTGCGTAAAAGTTCACATAGTTGTAATTTTAAAAGTAGTAAATGTGGGCTTCTGGTTCAAAAAAAAATCTCAAGTAAAACTAGTAACTTCTTGAATATGTTTAAATTTGCAGGATAAACAGTTAAACTAATTTTTATGGAGTGGTAGTCAATATATAAACTTCTTGACAAATACCTCATAGTATTTCTCTTTATTCTAAATTTTATTATTAAAGTAAGTGTATCTGTATTTTTGAAACACATGGAGATAAAAAGTGTGAATAAGTGTCACTTCTTCATGGTTTTAACAGGATCAGAATAATTTCATTTCCTTCCAGTATTTTTAAAGGCATATTTTTACATAGCTTTACATCAGACAGTCCATCTCATATTATGTCTCTACTTATTGTGTAAATATTCATGAACTTAAAAAAAAAAAATCCCTCATGAGAAGCAAAATAGTTTGCTAAATGGATTAGAAAAAATACGTTGTTTGAAACAATTCAGACCTTCTGAAGTATTTAAAGAAAGAATCAATAAACTTGTCAGAACTGGGATCTTTTTTTAAAATTTATTTTTAGTTGGAGGATAGTTGCTTTACAGTGTCCTGTTGGTTTCTGCCACACAGCAGCGTGAATCAGCCATAAGTGTATGTATGTCCCCTCCTTCTTCAACCTTCTTCCCACTCTCACATTCAGCCCTTCTCGGTTGTCACAAAGTACCAGGTTGAGCTCCCTGTGTTACATAGCAACTTCCCACTAGCTATCTTTTTTTATCTATCTTTTTTTAACATCTATTTACACATGGTAGTGTGTATATGTCAGTGCTACTTTCTCAGTTTGTCCCACCTTCTCTTTCTCCTGCTGTGTCCACGAGTCTGCTTTCTATGTGAGCATCTCTGTTTTTGCACTGTCAATAGGTTCCTCAGTACCATTTTTCTAGAATTAATATACATTCGTTAACATGCAATATTTGTTTTTCTATTTCTGACTTAACTTCACTCTGTATAACAAGTTCTAGGTTTGTCCACCTCACTAGAACTGACTCAAATTCGTTCCTTTTTACGGCTGAGTAATATTCCATTGTACATATGTGTACCACAGCTTCTTTATTCATTCATTTGTCAGAGGACGTCTAAGTTGTTTCCATACTGTAAATAGCAGTGCTGGGATCTTAAAATCATGAGATAGCTACTGTTAATAGTTTGAGGCATGTCTGACATGCTTTTAATGTTTGTGTGAATGTCTTGACACCCATGAAGAGCCTTTTTTATTGTTATTTTATGGTTACACACAGGATAGTTTCCCTGTGTATTATTGTTCTGCAACTTGCTTTTTCCCCTTGAGTATCAATTACCCCATTTACCAGCAATGCCTGAAGATCTCCCTTCGTCTTTGTAACAACTGTGTTGAACTCTGACTGTGTGGCCAAACCATGGTTTATTCAACCTTTCCTCTACTGGTAAAGATTTAGGCCATTTCAAGTTTCTCTGCTAAGCTATCGTACACAATGCCCCACAGACGATACACTTTTTATTTTACTCCCTTGAACCTTTATTTCTGCAGGATAGATGTCTAGAGGTACAGTGTATGAATCAAGGTACATTTTACATCTTGATGACTACCATCAGTGTTTCATCTTAACTGTCACATCCTGGTGACCCAAAGCAGAGGTCTGCAGTCAGTCCCATGTGTTTGGTTCTTGGTTCTGGCACTTTTCTGTGTGACCTTGAGCACGTCACCCCACCTCTCTGTGGCCAGGTTGTCTGTGAAGTGGGGATGGGAAGGAGCCCCTCCTGGGATCAAGGTGAGGGTTAAAGGAGAGGGGATGGCTGGACACATGGTGAGTACCTGATAGGTGCAGTGGGTCTTGTAACTGTCATCATATTGATGAATATTTGTTTCTAATTTTCATCCATTAAAATTACCCTGCAGAAGCTATACCTGTGCGTTTAGTTCTCGCAACAAGTGTCTGAGGCAGATACTACCATTGTTGTTCCGTCACTCAGCCATGCTGGGCTCTTTGCAACCCCATGGACTGCAGCACACCAGGCTTCTCTGTCCTTCACTGTCTCCCAGGGTTTGCTACTATTATTCCAATCTTATAGATGAGAAAACTGAGGCTGAAAGTTTGGCTGTGGTCTTGCAGCTAGTGTGTGTGTCGCCAAGGACACTGTATGCAGAAGGAAGAAGAGTGGATGCTTCTAGTTGTGCAGTCTTCCAGTCCCTGCTCCGTGTCCCCCTCCACCATCATTTCTCGTGTCTTTGTCTCACTGGACTGATATGCACACAGCAGTCAGAGTGATGGATTGTTCTAGAAGGCAGATTCAACCACAGAAGGCTTGTGCCTCAAAGCCTTTGGCCAGAGGTGGGTGGATGGGGAGGGCTGGCGAGCTGGGGGTGGAAACCAATGATAGAGTTCTCAGCTCCCTAAATCAGGCCTCACCACGCCCACCCAGCTCTTCCCATCCCCCACATTCCGTGTTCCCAGTGCCGTCCATGAAGCTCCTTGGACGCGCCATGTTCTGGCCCCTTCTGGACCCCTGAAAGTGTGTCTCCCCTGTCTGGAACATCCATGAGGACCTGTCTCTCTGTGTTCTTACCTCTGCAACCATCTTTGCTCTCTTTCCCCATCTCTTGGACAGTCACCCCCATGGTGTCTTCCCTTTGACGCAGCCCCCAGGACAGGACCTGGGCCCAAGAGGGGCCCTCCGGAAGCTGACCAGATGAGAGGTTGGAGGGACACCCCACCAGTCACAGGGACCATGCTCAGAACACTCGGGAAGCAGCTCAGGGCTGGGTACTATCCCATCTATCTCATACCGCAGCACTGAGCCGGGCCCAGGGATCCTCTGTTGTCTGAAGAGTGCTGAGCTCTCAGCTAAGTCTGTACCTGGGGAGAAGTGGTGGCCAGGAGGAGCTAGATGGCTGGACTGACCTTTATGCATGTGAACCTTGACCTCTGGGGGTTTTGCCTGGAGGTAAGGGAAGTGTGGATGCCGCTCAGGCCACTTGCCAGCAGGGTGACCTGAGGCAGATCTCTGAGTCTCCGTGTCGGGCTGTACCCCTTTCTCTTGCCTTGCTGGAGGGCTTGTGAGGCTCAGGTGGGAGCCTGTGTCTGGAAGCCAGGTGTCTGTGGGTATCTGGTGTTTGCATCACGCAGGCCACGTGGTCCCCGCAGGGGCGGCTCCGCTGGCCTCCACAGCCGGGTCTTACAGCTGCTGCCCTCTGTGCCTGTCTGGTCGCAGCTGAAACGCTCCCGCGAGACGGAGGTCCAGCTGAAGCCGCTGGTGGAGAAGAACAAGCGGATGAACAAGAAGAATGAGGACTTGCTGCAGAGCATCCAGAGGATGGAGGAGAAGATTAAGAACCTCACGCGGGAAAACGTGGAGATGGTGCGTCACGGACACAGAGCGCTTGTCTCCGCCTGGGCTCCTCCAGCCTCTGACCCAAGTAGTCCAAGTCCTCCGGGGCCACCTCCTACCAGCCCCCTCACCCCAAACTATCCTCCCTGCCTCTGTCCCCAGAATTCACAGCGCTGTGGGCATCTGTGCCCGATGGAGCGTGTACCAGGTGGCCTGACAGCGGGTCTGCACTTCCGCTCTGCCATCTCCATGTGGGGTCCTTAGGCCCAGCCCTCTTCTCTCAGCCTCCTCATCCCTGAGATGGGATTGAGAACATCAGTGCTGAAGGGTCAGGGAGAGGGGGCAGTGATGGGACAGAAGGTTCTCACAGAAGACCTGGCACACTGGGGCAGCTCAGCGGGTCAGTGATTACGGGTTTGCTCCAAGTGCTTTGAATCAGGGCCTTTCATTTGCTCCAGCAAGAATGATTGGTCTTTGTGGTCAGAGTGGTGTCTTGCAGCTGATGGTTTAAGGAATACTCTGAGTTTCATTGTCCAAAGTAGTCTCAAGCATGCCTATTGTACAGCTGAGAAGACTGAGGCTCCGGGAGACAGAACACCCTTCTCCCTGTTCCCTGGAATGTCCAGGTGTGAGTGTACGTTGTTACCACGTGGCGTGCTCTCGTCCCCCAGCACCCAAGCTTTCTAGGCTCAGGGCAGACGTCCACCTCTCCCACCCCGTTGCCTGCTAGCCCTTCCTGTCGGCAGTGGGCCCAGTCAGCCCCACCTCGAGCCTGGCTCTGGTCTGCAGCTGTCCGCTCCTCCAGCATGGGGACCAGGGAGCAGCCATCCCTCCCTCCATCCTTCCACCCCGTATCCCCAAGCCCACACTCCGTGCCCTGACGCACGGTGGGTCCCTGACCAGGGTTGTGGACGAGCGGCCCTGCAATGTCCTCTCTTCCCTTGGCTGCAGAAAGAGAAACTGTCAGCCCAGGCATCCCTGAAGAGGCACACTTCCTTGAACGACCTCAGTCTGACACGGGACGAGCAGGAGATCGAGTTCCTGAGGCTGCAGGTGCTGGAGCAGCAGCATGTCATTGACGATCTCTCACTGGTATGTCTGCGTCTGCGCTGGTGCCAAGCCCTCCGTGGGGTGCCAGGAGACATGGGCCTCCGGGATGGCATCAGGGCTGCAGGCAATGTGGGGGCACAGGGGGGCGGGGGAGCGTGTCACGGAGCTCCTCCTGGTGATGGGGCCTTCCTGCTCCATTCTTCCAGAAAGCGGCCTCCACTTGCTTTACACGACATCACCCAGTATCCGGGAGCGGTTCCCATGGTTACTCTTTTTGCTCAGCTCTTATCCCGAGTTTGCTGCCATTAAGAAGCAGCATCAGCCTCTTTTGAAAAGAGTCTCTGGCCTTTACAGAGTGGGTGTGATCGATCTGTCCTGGAGAAGTCTGATGGTTTTTTTTAGCCTATTATTGCAGACTGTGAACTTGAAAACCGGAACCTTATAATCAGACCAGAATTTGAAGGACTTGCTAAGGTGTGTATGTGTGTGTGTGTGTGTGTGTGTGTGTAAGATCAAGGAGGGGGGAGTGTGAGTATGTCTTAAGGAGGTGGAGTGTGACATCCAGAGAGTTCTGCTGCTCTCTGTGGAAGGAGTTTAGGGAGCAGGAAGGGAGCATGTATAGTGAACTTTAGTTGCATCTTAGAAGCAAAGAGTACTTCAAAAAATAGAAAAGCCAGTGACCAGAGCTCTAGAAAAGGCTTTGATTGTAAGTTGTCCAATTCACTTTGCTTGCCTATCTCTCCATCTCTGCTCCCTCCTTGCACTCACCCATTTATACTCCCTCCCCTCCTTCCATCCGCCTTCCCATCCTCCCCGTCTCCCATCCATTCCTTGCTCTCTCCATCGTGCCTTTATTCCACCCCCTCCATTTATTCATTCAACCTTCCATTCATCTTTGTTTCATTACACATAAAAATCTTTATGCCACGTAAGGTGAAAAAACACACCCAACGAAACGATGACAGGATCGAAAGAAGAATAATAAACAGATAAGACGAGAGAAAGTAAAAATGGCAGGGTCAGTCAAGATCAGGAGGGACACGTGGGTGGACCATGAGGGCTGTTGCCAGGCACCCAGTTTGTCTCTGGGTTTCCTGACAGCCGAAGAGGATAGGAACATCCTATCAGAAAGGAGATAATCAGGAAGGAGAGAATTCGCTGGTTTCCTCTGGGGCAGAACGCTGCTACTCCTGCTACTACCCCTGTAGGTGACATTTCTACTGACAGAAGCCACAGGCCATCACAGTCTCTTGCAGGGCAGGTTCTAGCACTTATAGCAAAGGAAGAAGCTGAGAATCAGAGAGACGAGGTGTGTGTCATCTGGCCAGGAGGAGGCCCCGTGGGGATTTGGCCACAGCTCTGTGTGAGATCGAAGCCACAAGATTATTTATTTTCTGTTGGGGTCACTGACAGTAGGTAACTAGTCAACACCGCATGAAGTTTATAGCTTCCAGCCCCAAAGGCAGCCAGGGTGGACTTTTACAGTACTGGCCAACCTTGGCATTTTTTTTTTCTGGGAGGGTCAAGTCCAGTTCATGGTATGTCTCTGTAGCTGTCAGTTCTGAGAAGCAGCCGTGCCTTGGGTGCTCAGAACCTGGGCCGACCCAGGCCCAGTGCAGACAGGTAGGCGCAGCAGCTTTGTCAGTTACGCCCTCTTGAAGCCAGTGGGTTGGCAGGCGTGATGTGAAGACTGGCTGAAGATGCAAACAGTTGTGTTTCCTTCTAGGAGAGAGAACGGCTCTTGCGGTCCAGAAGACATCGCGGGAAGGGCCTGAAGCCACCCAAGGTGAGCCAGCGGTGGCACAGCTGCCCTGCTCTGGCTCCATGCCAGGATCTGCAAGGCGGGTGGTTCAGGGGTGGGGGAGGGGAGTGAGCAACCCATAGAGGGGCCCTGAAGGCAGACACCCTCACATCTCTGCAAGTTTGATGCGGAAAAACCTGTCATAACTACTTCTCCAAGCAACATAAATAACTAGGCCATGGACCTGGTTACTGTCATTTATTCATGGAAAATTTACAGACATATCCTGTATTTAGGCCTTTGGGGATGTGCGCCCAAAATTAAAAACATAAATACTTAGACCTTTTGAAGGATTTAAAGAATACCTAGTCTTGGTTTATAACATCTATATATCCTGTTTTGAAGAATCAGGAGCTTCAGGCTTTTTTGGAATGATACAGAATGCATTCTTGCTGGAAAATGTGGTTTTGCCCTTTTTATAGGGACATTGTCCAAATGTATATTGAGGTGAGCAGGGCTGTCTTGGAAAACTCAGATGCCCACAGGGACCAAGGTGGAAAGTAAAAGAGCAAATTGGTATATATATATTTTTTTTTAAGATTTTTTTGACGTGGGCCATTTCTTAAGTCTTTACTGAATTTGTTACACTATTGCTTCTGTTTTATGTTTTGGTTTTTTGACAAGGGAGCATGTGGTATCTTAGTTCCCCAACCAGGAACAGAACCCACACTCCTGCATTGGAACGTGAAGTCTTAACCCCTGGACTGCCACAGAAGTCCTGCAAATTGCTATTTTTTAAAAAGTCAGTTTGCGTTAACACCTGCAAACATTTTTCACTTCCATGAAGATGTGGGTCTGGTCACCTTTTTTTAAACCAGATGCCCCTCCTGGTTTATCTTTTGGTGGAGATATGGCTATATAGAAATATTTCTCATCTATAAAGATAACAGATGTCTTACCGAATGACCACGGATATATGGCTTTGGTGTCAGTGGGACAATAGGGAGTGGTGGTGACTGTGAAAAACAGGGTCCAGAATATCAGCTGCTGTAAGAAAGTGAGCCAGGTGGTGTCAGATATTTCAGTCATTCAAGAGACGAGGAAGAAGAAAAAAAGAGAGAGACTAGGAAATCTCTGCATTAGTTTCCTAGGACTTCTGTAACAAGGTACCACAAACTGGGTGTCTTAGAAGAACAGAAATGAATTAGCTCAAGGTTTTGGAGTCTAAAAGTCTAAAATCAAGGTGTTGGCAGCAAGATCCCAACCTGTAGGGAATTGCTTCTTCTTAGCTTCTGGTGATTTACTGGCAAATTGGTATCATTTGACAAGACTTTCCTTGTCTTCAGTTCAGTCAGTTCAGTTCAGTCGCTCAGTTGTGTCCGACTCTTTGCGACCCCATGGACTGCAGCACGCCAGGCTTGCCTGTCCCTTCCATCTGTTCCTTGTCTTAAAGCTGCACAACTGCAGTCTCTACTTTTCTTGTCATGTGCTCTTTTCCCTGTGTGTCTCTGTCTTTGCATAGCCATCTTCTCATAAGGACATGAATCCCATTGGATTAGGGGTCCACCCCAATCCAGTGTGCCCTCATTTTAACTGATTATTGCAATGACCCTATTTCCAGGTGAGGTCACACTCTGAAGTACTGGGGGGTTAGGACCTTAATATAACCTTTTGGGAGGGGGGGCGCTCAGTTCAACCCATAACACTTTTATATAAAATCTCAGGATTGTGAATGTTGCTGCAAATCATTTATAGTACACTCTGTAGGCCAAATAAAATATATCTTGAACCAAATTTGTGCATTTGGATAAATGTTTATTTATAACATCTCATTTAATCGTCATAGCAACCCTGTGAGGGTGGTGTTATTTTTTTTTTTTAAATTACAGGAAGTATATAGGTATAAAATATAGAAATGAGTCAAAGAGGAAAAGTAAAAGACTGACATTTAAACTCAAGTCTGGGGCTCCAAGGCCCAGTCTCACGCCATCAAATCAAGTTGAACGAGGTACAAGTCTCTATGCACTGACATTAGACTCTCAGAAATGGGAAGTGGTTCAGCAGAACTTGGTTATATTTAGAGACATATTTTTATTATGGAAGTAGTATAGCCACATTATAGACGATCCAGGACATAAGTGGTCATCATGGCAGTACCCCCCCAGTGCAATCAATGTTGGCGTTTTAATGCAATCTCCTCCCCCCATCCTTGTTCTGCTTCAATATTTTTAGATAATGTAGCTGTAATTGTGGAATATGTTTTTGTACCCTGGGTTTTTACTTAGCATTATATTATAAAGCGTTTTTTCCATGTTACGATGCTATCATCATAAATATGAATTTCCAAGACTACATAATCTGTTGAGTGGATGGGCCATAAATTTGTTTAATGTTCTGTGTCCACCGGGCGTGTCTGCTTTCAGCTCCTCACGGTTGTGAATAATGCTGCAGTAAATGTGTCTATGCTTAGCAGACCGCTCTTCACCAGCCAGTTCTGCTAGATTCCCTGAGTGCTGAATGTTTCATTGAGTGACTGCCCTTTCCGTCTCCTTGGACTCCCCACTTCTGTAAATGTAACCACAGTGAACTCCTTTTGTCCAGAAAACTGTGTCCATGGTCTGTATAGTTCTCATGGATAGATTCCCGGAAGTCTACATGTGGGTCAGTGGGTGTGAAGGCTTCAACCAAGAACATTCACCCTTCTGTCTGCTGTAGAGAAGGGTTGTGTCATTTTGCACAGTTGTCAGTAATGTATATGATGGCCATTTTCAACCACAAGACATGCTTAAAAAGTCCATCTAAAGGAATTCAGTTTGTTCTGAACCGACTGTGTTGTGGCCTCATATACCCCAGAAAGGGATTCAGGAAACCCCAGTTTTGTGCCGTGACTATATTTTTTAAATGTTATCAGAACATCTGGCATAAGAGATTGTTTCCTATTTCTGAATGTGTCTATGGGAAGAGAACTTTACAAAGGCCTAGACTGGACTTAGGATTTGCTAGGCTTGTATGTACTGCAGGCAAGGTGGGCAGGAGCTGTGTCCTGCACACTGTGTCCTGGTCACTGGCTGGCACAGAGTGGGTGCCCCTAAATAGTTGTTGACCGAATAAATAAATTGCTCTTACTGGAAAAAGCTCATTTACCTAACACTGGATCATTCCAGGATGTGGAAATTTGGTCACTGTGATTACAAGAATTTGATGCCACTAGAAGGCAGAGTCTTGGAACCTTGAGGGAAATTTCCTGACCTGGTTTGGGGTCTTTCCTACTTACTGTGACCCACCAGTATCTTCCTTTTTCTCAGGATTCAGTGTACAGCTGTTTCCCTTATGCTCCTGCTTAATCCCAGCTAGTCCAGGGTTGGACGGGATGGACGTGTGGATTCATTGGGGCCCTGGGCAGGTTTTCAGTCCCCAGGGCTCGCCTCTCAGGCCTGGGCGGCCTCGCTTCCTTCTTTCCCGTATGTCGCAGGGATCAGTACTTTTTTCTCTCCTTAAATGACCTTCGTTGCACTCTGTCCCTCATGCATCCATGAGCTTTATCACTTTGTCCAGGTCTTTGCGTGACAGAGTGTCTCGGTGAATGCCTCGAAGGTTCCAGAACTTTCTGTCCCTGCTCTCCAGCTGTTGCAAGCCTCTTTGGACCCTGTAGTTCCCTGCAAAGGGGCTCCTCCATTTCCACACCAGAGCCCAGCTGCTGGAGATGCTCTGAGGGCACAGCAGTCCTCTTCCAGGGGGTGCAGCGTGTCCCCACCGGCTCCCGACCTGTCTCACTGGGCTCCTGGGAACAAGACTGGTGTTGGCTGTCCCTGCCTGGGGACCCTGCTGTTGATTTTTCAGCCCTGGGTGGTGGTTGCAGGAGAAGGACCCTCAGTGATTCCTTGGGCCCTGTCTGGGGTTCAGGGCTTGCTCTGTGGAAGGTGTGATCAGGACCTAACTGGAAACAAAGCCCCTGCCCTGAAGTGGCAGGAGGTAGAGGGTCAGCCATTGGAACATGCAGCCTCGCAAGGGAGAGATGTGTCTTCGGAGAGAGCTGGGCCCATAAAGAATGGCTAAAATCATTACAGTTTGCTCACTTGCCTTGAAAGTGGAGCTGAGATCTTGGACGAGGCTCAGGAACCATAGCCTGGAGCAGCAGGGAGTCAGACCAGCTCCTAGCTGTGTAGTCTTGAACTCTGAGAACCTCAGTTTCCTGGTTCTTACAATAAGCATCATATCTATGGGATCAAATGAAGCATCTGGCTCCAGGCCCGAAGTGTAGACAGGGATCGGTAAATTATATTATCCTTTTTCTTTCTTCCTTCATCTTAAATGAGTAGCTTTCCTTTGGAGGGCCTGTTAGATGCAGATTCCTAGGCCCTGCCTCACCCCCACCTGCTCCCCTCTAATTTGTGGCACCCATTTTTAAAAGAGGGGGCTTCTCTATAGCTCAGGTGGTAAAGAATCTGCCTGCAATGTAGGAGACCTGGGTTTGATCCCTGGGTCAGGAAGATCCCCTGGAGAAGGAAATGGCAGCCCACTCAAGTACTCTTGCTTGGAGAATCCCATGGACAGAGGAGCCTGGCAGGCTACAGTCCACGGGGTCACAAAGAGTCGGACACGACTGAGTGACTAACACTACTACTACTACATTTTTAGAAAGAGAGAGACAGTTTCAGGCAGCAGTGAGGTGACATCCCCATCCTTTGAGGGAGGCTGGGAAACATCAGAGCACCACCGGAGAACAGGCCCTTCCTGGGATTCAAGCGTCATCTCTGTGGTCCCCTCTCCCTTATGGACCAGGGGTCTGCTGTCACCAGGACGCAGGTCACCTCCGGGGATCTCGTAGGTCACTCCTGGTCCGCGGCTCCTGCATTCACTCACTCTTGACAGTACACTTAAAACCTGTCCGAACTTGACCTTGCACCCCGAGGTCAAGCCCATGGCCTTGTGGGGGAAAGAACCCGGGCACCCGAGGCTGCCCTGGGACAGAAGCTGGGGCGCCATGCCTTAGCCTGGCCACACGCCTGAGTGCTTTCCATCACCTGCACTTCCAGGCCCGAAGT